CTGCATTATTGTAGGCAACTTCTGCAAAAGGAAGTAAGTCCGTCCAATCACTCTGTTGGAAATTTAAAAAACATCTCAAATATTGCTCAAGTACCGACTGGCAGCGTTCCGCTTGTCCATCTGTCTGAGGGTGATGGCTAGATGTCAGTCCCTGAGTGGTCCCTAAGAGGGATAAAAATTCCTTCCAAAATGTAGACGTAAATTGCACTCCCCTATCAGAGATGATGCGTTGGGGTGCCCCGTGCAATCTGTAAATGTGCTGGATAAAAAGTTTTGCTAAGGCCTTTGCAGTGGGAATTTTTTGGCAAGGGATAAAGTGCACCTGTTTGGAAAATAGGTCCGTGACTGTCCAGATAACAGTATTCCCATTGCTTTCAGGCAATTCCACTATAAAATCCATGGCTATTTCCCTCCAGGGGGCTGAGGGACTTGCCACTGGTTGTAACAGCCCTGGCGATTTCCCTTGCAACCTCTTTGCTGATGCACAGGTTGGGCAGCTGGCAACATAACTTTCTATGTCCTTTTTTATTGATGGCCACCAAAATTGCCGTTTAATTAAGTGTAAAGTTTTTACAAATCCAAAATGCCCTGCTGATTTTGTGTCATGGCAAAGTTGCATGAAAGTTAGTCTTTGAGTTGTTGGTATATATAACTTTTCCCCTACCCAAGGCAATCCGTCTCTCATTGTGCACACATGTTTGTTTTTCTGGAACCAATCATCTGTTTCCAAACTTTTTCTGAATTCAATCCCAGTTTGGCTGTCCAGTTGTGGTTTTATTTTGGCTTGGGTTCTTGTGGTTACTGGCGCTGCCAGTTGTGATTCTGCCATTATTGGTCTAGAGTCTGTGGTTCGTGCGCTGTTATATTGGGGCATGCGAGATAGTGCATCTGCCAGGAAGTTCTTTCTTCCTGGTAAATGTTTGAGCTTAAATTGGAATTGGTGAAAATGCTGGGACCAGCGGGCTTGTTTGGGATTGAGTTTCCTGGAAGTTTTCAGGGCTTCTAAATTTTTGTGATCAGTCCATACCTGGAAGGGGATTTTGTTGCCTTCCAGGAACTGTCGCCACGTGAGTAATGCCCAACGTATCCCATAAGCCTCCTTCTCCCATACGGGCCAGCGCTGTTCTGTTTCCGTGAGTTTCTTAGATGTATATGCACAGGGTTGCAATACTGCATCATCATTTTCTTGTAATAGCACAGCCCCCACTGCCACATCACTTGCATCTGCCTGTATTATGAAGGGCTTGTCCATATCTGGGTGCCTTAGTACTGGTTCGGCAGAAAAAAGTCTCTTTAGTCTCTCAAACGCTGCTTGGCACTCCATTGTCCATGTTAGTGGCTGGCTAGGTTTTACTGAGGATGTTCCCTTCGTTTTTAGTAAGTTGGTGAGGGGCAAGGCTATCTGTGCAAATGAGGGGATGAATTGGCGGTAAAAATTTGCAAAGCCCAGGAAACTTTGTAGTTGCTTTCTTGTGCGGGGTGGTGCCCATTCTAATACTGCTCTGACCTTCTCTGGGTCCATTTCAATGCCCTGTGGGGATATGCGATAGCCTAGGTAGTCTATCCTTTCCTGGTGGAATTCGCATTTTGAGAGTTTGGCATATAGGTGAGCGGCTCGCAGCTTCTTTAAAACCGCTCTGACAAGTTTGACGTGTTCTTCTTTTGTTTCGGTAAAGATAAGAATGTCGTCCAAGTAAACAAGGACCCCCTTAAACAGGTGCTCCCTTAGAACGTCATTGATTAATTGCATAAAGACTGCAGGGCCCCCTTGTAATCCAAATGGCAAGACTTTGAATTGATAGCACCCCATGGGGCAGTTAAATGCAGTCTTCCATTCGTCCCCTTCCTTGATTCTCACGCGATAGTAAGCTTCCCTTAAGTCTAGTTTAGAAAAAATTTTCCCTTTCGATAGGTGTGACAGCATGTCTTTCATGAGGGGCAGCGGGTATAGGTTGCTTTCACTGATTGTGTTCAGGGCCCTATAATCCACGCATAAACGTAAAGAGCCATCCTTCTTCTCTCTAAAAAGGACCGGGGCAGCCACTTTAGGCTTAGCTGGTTCAATGAAACCTCTCTCCAGGTTTTTTTTTATAAATCTTTCCATTTCCTCCTTCTCCTTTGGGCTCATGGAGTATAATCTGGGCTTCGGGAGTTTTGCCCCAGGCTTGAATTCAATGGTACAGTCTGTGGGTCGGTGGGGGGGAAGCTCATTCGCCCTCTCCTCACTGAAGACTTCAGCAAGGTCCCTATATTCCTCTGGTATTTCTGTTAATCTTTTTTCCTCTCCTATGGATGCTTTTTCTATTCTTGATTCTGGTAGCCTCTCTTGGGGTTTTAAGTCCATAGGGTCCCCCTTCGGGAATTTGATTTCTGTCGTCCTCCAATTTACCCAGGGGTTCCATTTTTTCAACCATTCCATCCCTAGAATCATTGGGCATTCCATACCTGGGGTCACCACAAACGTTAAGTCCTCTTCATGGTTGCCCAGGGAGAGGTGTATTGGCAGAGTGGCTAGGGTAGCTGGCACCCCCCCTGCTATGGATCCATCTAGCTGGCCAAATGAGATTGGTTGTTCCAGTCTCCTGGATGGGATGCCCAGATTCCCCACTAGTGTTGGGCTAATGAGGCAGCGGGTGCAGCCAGAGTCTATTAAGGCTTTCACCTTCACAGCTTCGGGCATGGGGGGGATTAATATAGTCACTGTTTTGAAGATGGGTGTGATGCGTCCACTTACCAGGGGTTCGCCTTCCGAGCTGTCATCTGAGGCATCCACCGTCCCTGTGGTGTAGGCTGGAGTTCTTTCCCCTTGGTGAGCAGAGGTGGGGTTTCTGCAATTTCCATCATTTTCATGGCTGTTTCTTTTGGCTTAGCTGAATACCCTCTGGGTTTGTTGATTGGGGATCTGTCTGGGTTGTGCTGGGGGGCCTTTGAGCGGCATTCTACAGCTCGATGCCCTTCTCTTCCGCACTTGAAACACCCCATCTGCTTCTTGGCTGTATCCGATGATTTCACCGGTTGGTGTGTCAGCTCAGGCGGGGGGCGGCTCCATTGTTTTCCTCGGCGATGCCTCTTCAATATGTCGATCTCTGCTTCCTCTGCCAAGACGTACCATTCCTCAAGTCGATGTGGGTCTCCTCGGGGCAGGCAAGCATCATATAGATCATAGTTTAGTCCGTCTTTGAAACGGCCAAGGAGGATGTCTTCTGGCCAATTCAGTTTGCTGGCAATGGCTCGGAATTCTTGTGTATACTCAGCCACTGGGCGTTTGCCCTGCCTCATCGTTGTTATTCTTTCACGGGCTTTGCGATCAGCCAGGGGGTCTTCAAACCGTCTTCTCAACGAGGACATGAAACGGTTGAAGTTACTGAGTTCTGGGGCATTGGAGTCATGCAGGTTCACCACCCAATCTGCAGCTGGTCCATCCAGGGCAGATTGCACGATCCGGATGCGGGCTTTGTCGCTGGGGATGTCCTGCCCATATTCCTCCATGTAGCTGAGGACTTGGGTTAGGAAAAACCCCAAGCGTGTTGGCTCCCCTTTGAATTTCACCTCCAACGGTGGACGTCTTGGAATGGATCGGTGCCTCCATTGTGGGTGGTAGTGTCTTCCGTCCAGATTTCCATCTGTGGTCCGGTAGGGGGTGGGAGCTCCTGGATCAGTAAATGTCCCTGGGGTTGCAGGTTCCACGTCCCCCTCGGTGTCTCTCCCTTTGTGGCTCCAGGAACTGGGGCGGGCGTAGGGCTCAGGAATCTCCTCTCCTAGGGAGCTGAGAGTTCTCTTCATCAGGTCAATAGCTCTCTCTAGGATCCAGTCTGAGTACGGCATACAGCTTCCTCCCTCTTCACTTGCGTGCAGGGATTTCTCCATCTCCTGCTTCCATTCTGGTTGCTTGGTTCCCCGTCTCAGGGTCACTTTTCTTGATTCCTTTCCCCACTCGCTTTTCTTTCCAACGCCCATCGACCAGCGAGGCTTGTGGTCCTGTGTCTCCACCACTTCTTCTTCTGAGAAATCTGGCCTCTCGGATCCCAACATCTGGCAAGGTTCCAACTGGGTCAGCGGCTCTCTTTCCAGGGAGTTTTCTCCCTCTCTTGCTTCGTTGTCTGACATGGTAAATTTTTGCAAAATCCCCCGGCAAGGGTCTACCTTCCAGGTGGATTAATTTTGCAAGTCCTGTCTAATGTAAGGACCCACCCCACTTTGCATCTTAAGAAGACAGAACTCTTGGAATAGCTCTTCCAACAGGAATCCTTTATTAAGAGAAAATGGTTGCAGGCATGCTAGACAGGACTTGGGGTTCAAGCTCTCCCATTCAAGGTTTTAAGGGGTTCCCCAGTAGTCCCACCCAATCAACCCCCCTTCCAGTGATAGTTTCAAGTATCACAATTCCATCCCCTTTCTTCTTCCGTCTGGATGGAGACTTCAGATAACTACATGAAAGGCAATTACTCTTCTTTGATATGTTAAAGCTTAGAGGCCACAATAAACACACATTCAGTCCTTTGAAGTGTGCTGAAGGAAGTGAGGGCCATAAAGCCCCTTTGCTCTCCCCCTTTTCTCCCTCTTATGGCAGAATCCAGAGAAGGCAGAATTGGGAGTTTCTATGTTTGATAATTAAAGATGAAATATAATTGGATTCTGACAGCAACTTAAGGTGACCTCTCCTTGACTCTTGTTGATGTAAGAGGGAGGGAGGCAAAATATCCTAGCGGAATCTAGAAAATCTATTTCAGTAAAGTGGCATTCTAGTCAGCTTCGTGCAGTCTGTTTTTGATGGGCCTCCCTCAAAGGATTGACAGATATTCAAGACGTTACTCAGTGGATGACCAATCCTTATCAGAAGACTGAAAAAAAAAACTAGGACAACTGCCTTCAAGTAAGCATTTTAATCTGAACTGGAGAAGCACCACCATTCCACTCCCTTAGATGCTGCTGGAGGTGAGGAGCTAGGCAATCAGAAAAGGGAACGACAGCACAACAGAGGAAGAAATAAGAAGCCTTACCTCTTTCTGATGGTACTTTATTGCTACCTTTAGCTTGGCCAAATCATGGCACTTCTGGGGATCTAACTCCTCACTCTGATCATCCCTGTGGTTCAAGATGATTTCCAGTTCTCGGGAGCTGCGAGCCTGGTCCAGGAGGTCTTTTGCAAACCGTTTGCACTGCTGAGAAAGCTCCTCGTATTCCGCCTTGAACTCATTCTCCACCTTGCTAAGTTCCTTCAGCTCCCAACCCAGCCGAAAGGCTGTCAAGATCGGGTCCTCGCTAGATAAGGCGATGAGGGAAGGACTGGCCAAAGCTTTATAAATATTCAGCCTTGACCTGGAGTGCCTCAAGCTGTCCACTTCCGAACTGGAGACGCATTCCACGCAGTTGCATCGGATCTGGTGTGGCCGTGGGATGGTGACCCGTCTTTGGACAAGCAGCTTTATGATCTCGTAGTTGTTGGTATGAGCAGCCAACATGATAGGGGTGATATCGGGGGTGAACTCCGAAAACTGGGTATCCATCATTAACGTGGGAACCTAGGTGAAATCAGTTTAGGCGGTTAAACTCTTTCCTGCACAAGTTCTCTAAAATCACAGCATGTCAACAAGAAGGTTCAAATGGCTCCTAGAAGCATCTGTTTCACATCACCAACACTACAATCAGTGCTGAAAAACATATCCTATAAGACCTCTATGAATCCCAGAGTGGAAAGTTGAATAAACATCCTAAAAGGTGAACAATTGTTGCCATACTGTTGCACAGAAAACTACATGGATGGTTTATTAAATCATCTAGAATCAAACATGGATCTTTTGTCCTTAGCAGACTTAGTCTTCATTAGTGCATAGCTGACCTTGCCTGATCTCGAACAGCTAACCAGAATTAAACCTGGTTAGTATTGGAATGGCAAACTATCAGGAAATCCCCAGGTTGCAGGCTGGATGGGAAAGTTAAAAATAAAAAACCTCCTTGAAAAAGAACAACTCACCCTTTCTATAGGAGGAGGAGGAGGAGAGGCAGAGCCTGGGGATGGAGTCAAGAGAGGACTCAGCCTAAAATCCTTATGAATCCACACATACTCCAAATCCACCACCCCTGAGTTCTGTTCACTCAATTTAGTGCTGGCCGTTATTTGACTGGATTCTTGTGTATAGGCATGAGCAATAAACTGGCTTAACTAGAACTTAACATGTTCTTAGCTATTGCAGACAATAGCTAAGGTAACAACATTGATATGTATGTGGAATCACAAAGCAATGCACAACTCCAAAGATATTTAGAACAGGAAGGGACTAATCTGAAAGGAAGGGACTAATCTGGCTAGTTCCATGACCCACCTTACAGAGAACAAACTACTTGGGAGGGGAGGCTTCTATCTAGTCCAGGTTTGGTTCCAAGGAACACAAACTTTGACACCAACACTTCTCCCTTGGACAGTATAGACATAGGATAATAGAGTTGGAAGGGTCCTTGGAGGTCTTCTATACCAACCCCCTGCTCGAGCAGGAGACCCTATACCCTTTCAAATAAATGGTCCCATTTTCAAACCCTCCAGTGATGGAGGACCCATATCTTCTGAAGGCAAGCTATTCCATTGGTTGATTGTTCTCACCAGTAGGAAATTTCTCCTTTGTCCTAGGTTGCTTCTCTCCTTGGTTACTTTCCATCCATAGTTTCTTGTCTTACCTTTTAGTGCTACAGTGCCCTGGAAAATAGTCTGACATCCACTTTAAGATGAGTAAGGTTACAAGGCTGGACAGATGGTACATTATGCACCTGGTCAAAATCTTCTCTGCTTTAGCTGAATTTAAACTAAAATTGAATTTAAACTAAAATTATTGATTCTGAACTTGCAGGTGTTCATCTAGAGCAGGAGTCTGCAACCTTGACAGCCTAATTAGACAGAATAGACCAAAACATTTATTTAGAAGCATAGCTGGCTGAGGAATTCTGGGAACTGAAGTCCACAAGTCTTAAAGTTATCAAAGTTGCAGACCCCTGATCTAGAGCAGTGGTTCTCAACCTTTCTAATGCCGTGACCCCATAATACAGTTCCCCATGTTGTGGTGACCCCCAAGTGGGTGTGGCCACCAATAAGAGGGAGTAGGACAGCTAGGGAAAAGGGAAAAAAATGGCGGACAGCGTGGTTTGGCGACCCCCGTGAAATGGTCATTTGACCCCAAATGGGGTCCTGACCCACAGGTTGAGAACCACTGATCTAGAGTGAGGTGTTCAAGCTGAATGCATATCTAATTCTTGTTTTGTTCCCAGTTAAGCACAGGCTAGTCTACTAAGCATCTAAGTAGAATCCAAATGAGGAACCCTTTCCAAGATATTTTTCTAGGAAAAGTCATCCTCTTTTGTTTTTCTCTTCCATCAGCTTCATCCATCTCCAAAGACATCCTGAAGACCTTGGTGAAATCCTACCGAACATTCAGTCACCCGGTTCTATCAACATGAATCTGATTCACTCAAAGTCAAAAAGCCCATGCTCCAAGCTTAGTGACCCAACAATTCAAAGTTCAGAGAGGGGGATGAAAAAGGGACCATATGTGAATCCCAGGTTCCAAATGTGAATGTAGACATGGTGCCAAAAACTGTTGAATTTCTCATGACAGTCTGGCTTGAGGTACAGTCCCCATTCCACCCTTGGGATATATATACCACAATTTTTTTTCAATCCTCAGAAAACTGTAACAGAGAGGACTTTGAATCATCCTGTACTGAAAACAAAGCAGCAGAAACCATGGAGAAAATATCTATAGATTTCTTTGTCATGGTAAAATGGTCTGTACTTCGCCATTAGAGACACACTGAGCAGAATAAATCTGTTCCACTGTACTAACTACATGAGAAGATCAGCATTTCACTCTGCAATGAGGGGGAGAGAAGGGAACCTTTACACAGATTTGAAGTTTACATTAACAACTTCTAAAATGCAGAATCTTTGTATCCTCGATACCTTTATATCCTTATCGTGTGAGAGGATTGCACCAGTAGATAGATACATTTGGAATTTTGAGAGTATTATACACTATATGGCTCTTATACCATGCACAAAAATAGTCTAATCTAGTAGTGGTGAGACAAACCAATGAGGTTGATCATAATTACTTTCTATAATCCTTGATGATGATGATGAACAATGTGTCTTCAAGTCAACATTGACTCTTAGTGGATGACTGGACTCTGCAGTTTTCTTTGCAAGATTTTGGAAGTGGTTTGCCATTGCCTTCTCCTAGGGGTTGAAGGGAAGTGACTGGCCCAAGGCCACTCAACTAGTTTTGTGCCTAAGGTTAGATTAGAATTCACAGTCTCCCAGTTTCTAGCCTGTGCTTTAACCACCACACCAAACTGGCTCTCTCACCTTGAGAGAGTTTTCCGATTGTTTTTATTTAAAATAAATGTGGAGAAACAAATGATCTTTATTCCCAAGAACGCAGGATCAAGCACTGCTCGTAGGTCAGTGATGGCGAACCTTTTAGAAACCGAGTGCCCAAACTGCAACCCAAAATCTACTTATGTATCATCGGGTGCTGGGTGGGCGTGGCCCATTGGGTGGGCGTGGCTGCGGTGGTAATGGCAGACTGGGTGGGACTAAAAAGTTCAGTCAATGAATTGCAACTTTGCAAGATTTTTTTTTTCCTGCGAGAAGTTGAAATTGATTGATTGAACCTTTTTTTTTTTTTTTGCACACGGTGGCAAAGGCCTAAAGCGAAAAGGTTTTATAAAACCCAGCTGAAAGCCTAGGACTGGGGCAATGGCGCGCGGGCCCACAGAGAGGGCTCTGAGTGCCGCCTCTGGCACCCTTGCCACAAGTTCGCCATCACAGTCCTAGGTAGTAAAGATGGCCCCTGGTATTCTATTTTTAAAAAATAATTTTTCAAACCCAGGAAAGAAATAATTTGGGCACCTCAGTATTAAGAGGAACAGACTTTAATGCAAATTTCCTCTTTTAAATGTTACATTTTATTAATTTTATTTTATTTTTTATTTTATCATGTTTTTATTAAACATGATTAAAACAACATCCCTAGGTATTCTTTCTATTATGTTAGTTTATCTTACCTATATCTTTAAAATATATATTTCTTTAATGTAATATTGTTTTTTTTAAAAAAAAAATAAGTGGAACCACTACTGTCTGTAAATCACTTCCAGAAGCATCACATTTGAGGTAACTTTTGTTTGACCAGGGAAATTTGGTTGTGGGTAGTTTAATACCACAGCCCTTTTAAGTATATTTGGGAAGGGGCATGCCAATTCAGCCTCAACCAAAATTTATTTTTGCTAAAAGAAAAAATAATAATTATTTCCACTTTAAGCATAAGAGAGGGAGAAAAACAAAAGCAAGCCATCAATAACCGTTCCTGTTGTGTCCTGGGCCCGCTGAGGCAAGTCAGCAGGCCCAGAAATGTTGCAAATGGTCCCGGGCAACCCAAAAGCTGCCCAGGACCAGACTGGTTGGCGCCGGTCTTGCGCACAGGCGCAAGGTGCAAAAAAAGGAGACTTGTGATTGGATGTTTTGGGAAACTATAAAAGGCCTGCGAGCCTGTTGGTTTGCTGAGTGGTATAGTGGAATGAATAAAGAAGAACTTGGTTAACAGCTTGTGTGTGTCGCTTCAATGCCGCGAACCCCAATATGTAAAAGTTCCCACATTTGAAAATGGAATTATTTGAGGCTTCCTGCTAAACGCAGCTCACCCATCAAGTGAGTCTCTGTTGATACTCTAGAAAGAGTGCAGAGAAGAGCAACGAAGAGGATTAGGGGACTGGAGACTAAAACATATAAGGATCGGTTGCTGAAATTGGGTATGTCTAGTTTAACGAAGAGAAGGATGAGGGGGGACAGGATAGCAGTCTTCCAATATCAGGGGCTGCCCCAAAGAAGAGGGGGTCAAGCTATTCTCCAAGATGCCTGAAGGCAGGACAAGAAGCAATGGATGGAAACTAACCAAGGAGAGAAGCAACCTAGAACTAAGGAGAAACTTCCTGACAGTTAGAACAATTAACCAGTGGAACAACCTGCCTCCAGAAGCAGTGAATGCTCCAACACTGGAAGTTTTAAAGAAGAAACTGGACAGCCTTTGTCCGAAATGGTATAGGCTTTCCTGCCTGAGCAGGGATTGGACTAGATGACCTCCAAGGTCACTTCCAACTTTATATTATTGATCATCGCACAGTCAATCAGATGTTCAGACTGGATTTGGCATTTTGTCTACCTATCGAGTCCTTACCCAGGACCTGGGATAGGCAGATGTGGATGTTTGATGATATTACAGGTATCGTCTCAGGATGGAAGCAGTTCCTAATAAGGCCGCCTTTTGCAATTGACTAATAGTGAATTTGTCAATGCCAATGGTGTTCAAGTGGTGCAATCCAGTTGGGATTGCACCCAGGCGCCTATGACTATTGGTACTACCCTTGCTTGCTTTTGCCACAGTCTTTCTATTTCTATTTGTAGGTCTTTGTATTTTGTGATCTTCTCCAGTTCTTTCTCGTCTATTCTGCTGTCTGCAGGCACTGCCACATCCAC